AGATAGAGGTGACTTGAAATGGGAAGGTCACACAAGGGGGTAAGAGGGACGTGGCTTCTTCACCTGAGAAGACACACAGGGTTCTTCACCTGATCATGTTGGCTCTAGGGATACAATCATGAAATTTCTGGAGGAAGGCCACAGCTCCTAAGCTCTAACACTTTATCAGAAGTTCTCAGTTCTTGCTTTTTAAGGTGTGCCAGGAGGTAAAATATTTGCTTCCAAATATCTCCAGGCTCTCCTTGACATATCCGTTCACACTGTAGATATTTTAACATTAGTTTTCACACATCAAAGCTTTTGCTAATAGTGTTGCTTTTCAGTGTTTACCTGGCGGTTGTTTTGTCTGCCAGACCGACTGTGGTCTTCTCAGAGGCTGAAGCTGTATCTTATTCTTGACATTTGTGTCACATAGCCTTAGTGAGTGGTGGTTAAATACCATTGGTTAATTGCATTTGCAGGTGGGATGAGAACTCTGGTATTTCTTCTCTTTCACAAGACCACATGGTCAAAAAAAGCAAAGACTACTAGGTGGTTTTAACAAATAGTTTCTTCTGTATTCCAGAACATTCACTAATATATGGGAAAAAAGCATGCCACTGCATCTGTTAAGTGTCAGTAGACGTTTTAGGCAGCTGGAAGGCAAAAATATACCAAAATATAGCAGAATACTCCCCCAACTCACATCCACTCTGTAGCTGTTCTCTGGTTTCAGGAAATCTTCATCCTTGTCAGGAGAGTCTGCAGGGAACTTGTCCAGAGTTCCTACAGCAGCCCCAGGCCAGCCGGCAGTATCTCCTGCAGAGTGGGATTTCTGTGAAAAAGGCAGCACTTCTGGTAAATTCAGAGAAATTAAAAGGCTATACGGCTGTAGGCAAATGTATTCACGTTAAATCTGTACTGTGTTCCAGAAGGAAATGGCTTTACTCATCAGCTGCCTATTTGCAATTGCCATTTGTTTCCAAGTAAGGGAAGATTACCAAAAATGTTTATTTTTTAGCTTATTCAAATATTTACATTTTCTCTAGCTTCTTTTCTGAAACATTTTGGCTCACTCTTTTTTCTGATAAACAACTGCTGTTTAGATTTCCTTTGTTCCAGTAGATTATGAATGTTAGCTTTAGAACGGATCTGTTTCTTCAAAGGATCATGGGCAAGTGAGAATCCACATAGATCGATACATGGCAAAGTAAAGAAAATTGGACAGTGATAATTGGCAGATATTAATTCTAAAAAATTAATATCCTAAGGATTTCAGAGAGAGAAGAGAACTGCCTTGTGAATGCCTGGCATGTTTAGATAGTCCCTCAAAAAGGGAGCCAGCAGAGGGGCAGGCTTCTGTGCTTTATACTCCTTGTTCCTCCAGGCTACTTTTCTAGCCAAAGGGTCAGTCTTCGCAAATCTTCTACCCAGCTCCACTCACGAGCTCATTTCCCTCCTCCTCGCCTCTCTGAGATACTTGGGTGCTAATCTTGTCCCCTGCCATCTGCATTGCCGTTAGGGCCTTTGACCCCGTTTGCCATTCTCTGCTTTCCTAGAAGTTCTGGTCCTTGGTTAGCTGTGCCTCTGCTTATAATAACTGAGACCTAGAATAAAAGAGACAGCAAATGTGGGGAAACATACATTTGGCTTTGAATCTGTTAAGTTTGAGAGCGATAAAATTATAATATATATATGTATATATATATATATATATCTAGTAGGTAATTGGGCATATGGAAGAGCTTGAAGGTATAAGAGAGTGAGAGACAAGTGGATGATACGAGATTCTATCAGTGGTGAAATGGACTAGAACCTAACATACTAGAAGAGAGTTCATTATTTAGAGAGGAGGATATATCTCTCCTTGGGACTGGAGTACAGAGGTTGAGTACTCTAACAGATCTCTCTGGTGCTGATAAGAATGACAGAAAGGAGGTTCCTGTGGGTTAGCTGAAGGAGATGACGACATTGTCTGAAGAGTGAGGAAGTAGTAAGGGCAGCAGGTGGTAAAGTGGTGAGGTCCTGTGACATTGCAATGAGTAGACTAGGGAGGGAGAGGAGTTGTGAAGAAGGGCTTGCTGACAGGATTAAGGGCCTGCTCTGAGCCTGGAGGGTCATCTTTGTGTAGAAGCACCCTTCTCTCTGGGGATATGATTCCCTGCAGCAGTGCTGGGCAGCAGTAGAGTTAGAGATTGTCAGGGTGCTGGTGTGGCCCTCTGAGGTATGAGGGTGCCCATATGACTGTGTCGGTAAGTTGTCTTTGGAGCACAAGCTCTGGGAAGTGAAACCAAGTCATTGTCTGGGCTGGAGAGGAGGGAAATAGTTGAATTGGCCATTGCATTCAGCTCTGAGCACAGCCCTTGGCTTACAGATGTGCTTCATAAATGTTGGCTGAATCAGAGTGGTGGAGACAACTGGTTTTGTAGGAATCAGAAATAGTGATGGGATCTTTGATTGGGTGGGATTTGTGCATTTGTTGTGGTTCTGGATTAATTCTTTATTATGTAGCAATGCTGAATACTTAATATTGGAGCCACCAGGAAGATGGCAGGAGACAAAGTGAGCCAAGGGCCAAGGCCTCTGCAAAGTTTTTGTCTGTTGTTGATGTTGATGGTATGAGAAATAGCCATCTTGAGTAGAATTTGTGAACTTCAGGATATAGGGGATTTTGCATGAGGGAAGAATGTCTAGAAAGAACCTAATGATCCTAAAAGAATACGGTCTTGACCCTGAGGGTCAGGTGTTGTAAGAACTGAATGATAGGGGAAGAGATGACTTCTGAGAAAAGTCAGGTTGCGGGAGAAGGTGGGGAAGACAATTGTGAAAAGCCTAAGAGTGTAGGAGGCAGTTTTAGAATAGTGGGGGTCCCAAGATGGAAGACAGAACAGAAGAGCTGCAGCAATGTTCTTGGCAGAGCACAGGAGTTTGTGTCAGAATCTCTGGGGTCAGTAGTAAGCTGTGCTTGTGGGGAAGTGGGGCAGTAGGGTAGCTACTCTGGAATGACTGCTGATGCCACTGGGGTCTGCATTTATCGGGCGGACCTATGCCAGCCTGAGAGCGTGTTGTATTAATTATCCTATTTGATCCTCATAATGTGTTGTAGTAGCCTCATTTTACAAAAACTGAAACTCAGAAAAGTAAGGGTCACAGAACCTCATGGTTCCAGTCCAGTTCTTGCTTTATTTCTTGTGCACTTGCCCTTCATGTATTGTCCTGTTCAAAGATAGCATGGATATAGGGATATAGCCAATGCATTCCCTTAGTATTGTTGGAAAGCCTGCTCCTTCTTGGCCCAAATGCAGCCAGGGTGTAGCTGGCTCTCTAGCACCCCCTGGTGGCAGTGACAGTATCGTGGCGTGCTAAGGTAAGCGTGAACACTGACTAGCTCAAGGTACCAGTAAGTCCCGGATACGCAGCAGCAAGAACATTTTCTTTGTTGTGAACATGGCACTTACCAGATACAGCCTTTAACAATTGTTTGTATGTGTATCTTAACTGCAAAGTAATAGTTTGATATTTGTATACCCCTACAACGTTCAGGGACATTCAAGTATGAAAGTGTGAAAAGAGACCCACTCATAGGGGGAGTTAAATTCATTGGCATGAACGCTTCTTATCCATGCGTAGACAGATTTGCCCCAGCCAATCCCTTTCCTTATAAGCTAGGATGATACTCTCTTCCTATTTCTTTTCATCTTTATTATGTCCCGTTTCATTGGCTTTTTTCATCAGCATATAAACACATTGTAATACCTCTCATTAAAGAAAGAAAAACCTCAGAATCAGTACACACACACCCCCCCTGCCCCCCAACCTGGTTCCTTTTTTCCTGGTTAAGTTTCTTAAAGAATGGTTTCCTAAACCTGTTCCTACCACTCTTTTCCCAACCCATTGCTCCTTGGCTCTTGCCAGTTCTAGCTCTTCACCAAAACCACCCTTGTGACCACTGAATGGGAGAGGAGTACCATTCTTACCAAGACCCCAGCGGGGTGTACAAAGAGTAACGTGAAATGTAAGGCCTCATTAAAGGTCTTGAAGGTGGCAGATGTTCCGAATTTCAGCTGTTGTTTTGCAGTTTGAGCTGTTCCTTCCATGACCATCAGTTTAGCAATAGGGCTGTATTTGTTGATGCTGGTTGGTTTTTGTTTTTGTTTTGTTTTTAAGATTTTATTTATTTATTTGCGAGAGAGGGCACAAGCAGGGGTAACTGCAGGCAGAGGCAGACGGAGAAGCAGGCTCCCCGCTGAGCAAGGAGCCCAATGGGGGGCTCGACCCCAGGACCCTGAGATCATGACCTGAGCCGAAGGCAGATGCTTAACCGACTGAGCCACCCAAGCGCCCCAGATGCTATTTGGTTATGTTAAGCCACCTATGTAGGCCAGATATTGATAGTTGTTATTGGTGTTCCAATGATATCTTCATAATTACCTCTTTTCCTTTCTGGATTCTGAATTACTTGAGAAATAGATTCAGAGATTAGATGGGCTTCCAAACATAAACTTTCTTTATGGTGAAAGCTGGACTAGAGATATTCTTGAGATATGCTTTGTAATCTGCTTGTGGAGTGAGTGGATCTGCAGAGCAGACCTTCATCCACCAGCCACATGGAAGCCCTCAGAGCCTGGCATTTATCAATCAGAGAAGATATTGGTTACTAGTCAGTGGTCTGTAAATTACACATCTCAACAACTTGACTCTTCATATCTGTCTCTTCAGGGCCTTTCTATCAGTGGCTGTGTAGTCCTCAGCAAGATTTCTGAATCCTAGAATGAAGATTTTACAGGAGAGTTGTAGTACTGTTCTAGACATGAAATAGAGGGTGGCTTACTGGGTTGACTTTTTATCCAGTTCGAAATTCCTAGGACTGTTTATGATAAGTTGGATTTTGTTATAGCTAGGTTATTTGTACATTTGGAAGACTCATGCATTTACTAGTTCATGAGCTAATCATTGAAGTCAAACTGTTAGTGTCCTTTCTGTTACCACAGATTCAGTTTGTTTGTTTCTACATTTTACAGGTTGAATATAAGCTGGGATTCCAAGTAGACAATTTTGTGGCTATGGACATGCCCCAGGTCAACATTTCTGCTCAGGGGGAAGTTCCACGCACTTTATCAGGTGAGTCTGAAAGAGTTAACATACTGTTTTCAGTTGTGTCCCCCATATCCCAAGAAGAACAGTTTAATAATTGATGCGTAGTATATCTTACTTGATAGGCTTAAGATGTATAAGTACTTTGAAAAGTAATTTTTGAAAATCCTGATTATTTGCACTGTATTTTAAACCATTCCCTCTTTTCCATCCCTTCCAGAACTGTCTGTGCTCACTTCTTCCTTGTCTCCTTTTCTGCATTGCTGGCCTTGGCCTCCTCCTGTGTCTGGTCTTGTTCCTCTTGGACTAAATTCCCACACCGTGGCCTGGATCATCACTGAACACTCATATCCGACCAAATGACATCAGTCCTATCAGGGCCCACTACCCCCATCAACTGAGTACATTGCAGACTCTCCCGCCATTATGCTGTTGTGTATCCTCTGCCCCTACCTGCCTGTCTGGCCCTGTTGCTGCATTTTGCCCCAGCATTCCAGTGGCACCGTACTACGTGCAGTTTTGACGTCCTTGCCTTTGCATGTGCCAGTCTGTGTATTTGGAACCCCCTTTTCCTCTTTTCTGCTTGTTAAACTGTCATTCATACTAAATATTCTTCAAGACTCAAAATCTCCACTGTCCTTTTTCTGCTTCCTTTTCTCCCCCCAGGTCTTAACTCTTTCTTCTGTTCTTCATACTCTGTAGGATCTTGTAATTTGACTGTTTTTGAACTGATCACATTATCTTGTAATTCTTTGTGCTTGTCTCTCCTTGCTGGCCTGTGGCTACTCTGAGGGCAGGAGCTGTCTTTTTCAGCCGTCTGCCCTTGGTGCCTAGCACTGCGTCTGCACAGGATAGTCATGTAATACATGTCTGACTAAATGATTTAAGTGTCATATATACCCAGTTTAACTACTGTTGAGCCAGCCTTTTGAGAAGGGCTCCTGAAGATGTGAGATTTTAAGAAAAGCAAAGCAAACTTTTTAAAACTTAAAGTGTAAGCCGTGTACTTTCCACAATATAGCAGGATCATGGAACTCTTTCTGGCAGTCTCATCTGTTGTTATTAGTGACATACATTAAGCTTTAAGAAGGCATAGGAAGGCTTGCTCATTTTTATGGGGCAGTAAAGAAATTCAGAAATGCCCATATTTTTCATATGCTCATACAGATGATAGAATGATACTCTAAATTTGTAGAAAAAGAATCTTAAACTGAAAGATTGAAAAAGAAAAATGATTTGCACCAAAGTCTGTTATCTCGTTGCTGTAGTAATTGATTAAAGCCAGTTTCTTTTTAGAAAGGGTTTTTTTTTAATTCAGTTGATTAATTTATCAGGTTTATCAGTTTACAGGTTTATATTTAATCTCTTCATTAAGAGAAATACATAATTGCATTTTGGTGGTAAATTGTCTTTCCGTTTTATCAAGTAATTGCTGTTTTGTTGCTGATGTGACTGGTAAGGTAGCAGGGTTTGCCTTATTCTATAGCTTTACTATATTATAATAAGAGGACTTGTGAGACAAAGTGATCTATTAAAAATCATGAGCAAAAGTTGAAAATAGTGATCTCTTCCTTTATGTCTTGGCTTGTTCTTTAATGCTAACTTTTATATCTATAATGAATGAAGAAATACTTAATGTCTAAAGCTATGTAGTCTGAAGGTAAGTTCTGTGAAAATTTCTGTTTAGTATTATGTAAATGTATTATTTTTAGTTTTATGCAACAAAAATAAAGAATTCTAAAATAGTAGGTATTAATATTGATTTTTAGAAAAGTAAAATATCTTTTCTTTTTTGCTCTTTAAACAGTGTTTCGGGTCGAGCTTTCCTGTACTGGCAAAGTAGATTCTGAGGTTATGATACTAATGCAGCTCAACTTGACAGTAAATTCTTCAAAAAACTTTACAGTCTTAAACTTTAAACGAAGGAAAATGTGCTACAAAAGTAAGGAATTTATTTACCAGAGTGTGTGTTTTATATAGATGTGATAAGGTCATAAATATATTTTGTCATCTTTCTACAGATTTGTGACCAAATCTTGATGATAGTTGCAAGTGTGAAAAGAAAGAGCACTAACAGATGAAATTCTGAGATAATCGCCAGGTAGCTTGTTGCCAGGAATCTCCCTCGGGCCCTTCGTTCTCAAAATCTTTTCTCAGAATTGCTAACTTTCCACTAGGGATGTGAAATAGTACTCAAGTGGCTGGTCACCTAATTGTGATAGGGGCCCCTGAGTACCTGAGTGTTCACTGAGTTTTCCTTATAGAGGTGCTGATGTGCAGAAGCATTGCCTGGGGCCAGATGGACTGGGCCTGAGATGGGGACAAGTCACTTACCCTAAGTCTTAGTTTTTTCATTTGTAAACTGGGCATAATAACCTGTTTCAGAAGTTGTTCTTTTTTATTTTCTCTTAGGTTAATTGAATCAAACCTAAATCTTAGAATACCATGTATGGGTACTTAATAGATGTTAGTAGCTTTGGTTTTGAATAATCGGTTACTTAAGAAATTACAGTGGCTATGAGAATTCCTAGCACGTAGGCTGTAGATGAAAGAATTTTAGAGTTTCTCCTTAAAGGTCATCTAGTCCAACCTGCTCACTTTAAGTTCCACTAAGGTAAAGTGACCTAAATTTGCATGGCCACTTAGGTTACTATCTAAGATAGGGAAAATAAAACCCTCTAAACTTATTGAGTGCCTACTGTTGACAGCTGCTTTACTTCCATTGAACGCAGTTCTCTCTAGGCAGTGGGTCTCTCATTACCTCCATTTTCTCAGGAGGAAGCTGAGGCTCAGGGCATCTGACCAACTTGCCAAGGTCAGACAGCTAAGTGGTACAGCTGGATGCAAACTCATGCTCTTAGCGCCATTGTTAAACTCTCTCTCAAACATTTCCTACTTGAAATTAGTGCTGAGTGTTATGAAAGATCCTAATGCCAGCAAGTGAGTTACAATGGCTGATGTCAAGATACATGCCAATAAAAAAGCTCTACTGCATTGGAATGGACATTTTTTAAATGGAAAGTTAGCAAGCACCTTTTAGCTTCAGTGTTTTGATACATTTTTCAGTTCTAATATTCTCAGTTATATACCTACTTTCATGTAATTTTCAAGCCAAAGTGGACTTTAGAGTCTCTCTAGTTCAGTCTAGTCATTATATAATTGATATGAGGAGACTGGGCCCTAGAGAGACTGCCTAAGCTAGCACAGTCAGTCAGTGAGGAGTATAGAAGGCCTGGTTCCTGATCCCTAGGGAAGGGGATGTGACTGTACCATGGTGCTTCGCCTAATGTCTAAAGGCAGCATGATGGCCAAATGTGATGTGATCGATGGAGTCCACCACTTAGTAACCACTGAGGTTAAGGATCAGCCGACATTCAGAATGATCCCATACTTTGTCCATTTTCTTTAATATGTATGTGAAAATTAAATTAAAATACAGTTGGTGTAATTTTCTACTCTGTTTTAGACTTAAGTTTAATATAGTGCTCCCCTTTTCATTTGGTCGTTATACTTCTGGCCACCCCAGTCGTCCAGTTCATGGCTCTTTAATATGTGATCCTAATGTGTTTGTCTGGTTTTCTACCCTACTACATTTAAAAAATTGCAACAGAAAATATATCTGTACTATATCGAATGTTAATGGGTGTTACTGGCAAGAAAATGTTCCTTTTTTATGTGAGAGTGGGGACTGCTTGATCAGGTAAATTTCATTACTTAAGAACTCCTTAGAGCCTTTATACTCTGCTAATGTGAATTATGCACCTCCACAGAGGTTAAAATATGTGTTTCCCCCCAAACTTCTTGACCACAGAAACCCTTTTCATTGAGCATCTATAAGCAATACCCATAGATTAGGAATTGGTGATTATAGTGATAATTATCAGAATCGTAATGTAGCATTTATTGTCTTGCAACAAATACTTTGTTAGTTCAGGCAGTGTTCTAAAAGAACACAAAACTATGTTAGAGAAAAACTCAGAAAATGTAATTAGAGTATTTAAGGATTTTCATGGAAAAGGAAGAATTTCTAAAGCATTTTTTATCTTTTTTTAAATTCAGAACTTGAAGAAGTAAAAACTTCAGCCTTGGACAAAAACACTAGCAGAACTATTTGTAAGTGTTACTGAGTTACAGTTCTCCATCATGAGGGAAGAAAAATGGCTGATTGCAAATGCACGTGATTGTATAAGGCTTAGAGGCCTTGTAGTGTCCAGTTTGTCAAAAGATATGTGATGAGGCCTTGCTATTTACTTCACTGATGTTTTGTAGATTGGTATATAGTCAGGGGAAATGATTAGAATATTGACATTTTTGTGAAGCAAAATTCATACATATAGCAAATGATCTATAAGCAAGAATTTGTATCACATCATTTCGAGTGGTTATAATTAAAGTATGAACATAAAAACATGTATAAGATCCTCATCTCAATAGCAGAAGGTTAGAAAATCTGACTAGTGACCTGGATGGGTTAACCCTCAGCTAATTTCATCCAGGTGAAAATGCAAGCTTAAAGGATACTTAAAGATACGTATTTAAACCTACAGAACAGAAACTCCAAGTAGATCTTTATTTTTTGGTAATGGTTGTGTCTAGATGATATAACTTAGACTTCTTTTTTCCTTTTCTGATGTGGACACATATTGAGTCTTACACTTCCTGAGATCGTTTTAATAGCATTATCTTAAAAGGATAAAAAATTTGTGGTGGGGAGGAATTTCAAATATGCAAAAGTTGAGAGAATGCTCTGATGAACCTACACGTGACCCATTACCCTACTTCAGTAATGATCAACGTTTTGCCAGTGTTGTTCCATTGATTTCCTCCTCCTTTTCTGGATGGGTAAATGGTTGGGGAGGAGTAGAATATTTTAAAGCACAGTTTAGGCATCATATCATTTCATCCATAAATATTCCAGTATGGATTTCTTTAAAAAAGGGCAATTAAGGGGCACCTGGGTGGCTCAGTTGGTTAAGCGTCTGCCTTCGGCACAGGTCATGATCGCAGCCCGCATTGGGCTCCCTGCTCAGCGGGGAGCCTGCTTCTCCCTCTGCCCCTCCCCCTGCTTGTGCTCCCTCTCTCTCAACTAAACAAATAAAATCTTTTTTTTAAAGGTAATTAAAAAAATAACCCACAATCACCCAACACCTATTCACTTGTATTTGATTTATCACATTTAACAAAATTAACAATAATTCCTTAATAAATTCTAATAGCAGACAATTACCTTATTGTCTCAAAAATATCTTTTTATAGTTTTGCCTCCACATCAGGATCCAAATGAAGTCCACACACTGTATTTTGTTGACAGATATTTTATATTACTCAGAAATCACTCACTCCCCCCTTATATCACTTTTTTGTTGATGAAATTGAGTAATTTATCCCATCGAATTTCTCCTGTCTTCATCTTTGTGGTGTTAACATACTTTTTTTTCTCCTGTAAACTGGTAATTAGATTTTGTACTTGATTAGATTTAGGACCAGTCCTTGGCAAGAGTAGTTCATAGATGGTAGTATGTGCTTCCTATTTCATCTTTTTCTCACCTCAGGAGGCAAAGAGTATCTAGCTATCCCAAAGTAGATTTTTTTTTTTTTAGAGATTTTATTTTATTTATTTTAGAGAGAGAGCAAGCAGGGTGGGGAGGGCAGAGGGAGAGAGAGTCTTAAGCAGACTCTGCACTCAGTGCAGAGCCCGATGCCAGGCTCGATCTCATGACCCTGAGATCATGACCTGAGCCGAAACCAAGAGTCAGACACTTTACCAACTGAGCCACGGACAGGTGCCCCCCCAAAGTAGACCTTTTTTGAAGGTAAAGTAATATACATTGTCTGCTTTTTTAGATTATTTCATTTGGATTTATCTCTAAGAAGAAAAAAAAAGTATCTTAAAAAATATCACTGCTCCCCAAATTTACTTTGAAAATTCTAGTGACTTTACCCATTTCTTTTATGCTAGTAGGATGTTATTTCACACAGAGAAACTAGAATATTGCGTATTCTTGGTCTCTGGCTGTCTTTTCTTCAGTACCTCTCTTCTTCCCTCCCTTTCTGTCCATGCATTCAGCATCTGTTGAAAGTCTGTGATATGCCAGGTGGTATGATTAAAGCAGGGGATTAAACTGAGCAAAACAGACCCTGCCCTTAAGGGTTTATAATGTAGTGGATGAGATGGACAAGGCACTAATGCAATGATAATAACATAGTGTGGCAAGCTATGATAAGGCAAGTGCAAGGTGCTTTGGGAACCCTACGGAGGGGCATATAATCTCTGAAGGAGTGAGGGACAGCTTCCTGAGGAAAAGTGGCATCTCGTGTGAGACTTGAAGGCTGACCAGGTGGTGGCAGGTGAAATGTCAAAGTGAAGGAATGGGAACAGTGCATACACAAGCCTGGAATTTAGAGGTAAACAAGCAGGAGACATTTGGGGGGATCTCCCCAGCAGAGTAGTGTCCTCTTCTCTGTCCTGGTGTGTGCTTGGATAGGTACTGCTAGCACCAGCCTTTAGGACCTCCCTTTTCTGCCCCTTCCAAAATTGAACAGCTTGTGGCATCCTTGAGGAAAGTCAGGCCTTCATTCAGGCTGTGTAAAGTCTAGCTGCCCTAGAAGCTATTTGGTCTTTTTGCTTTAATCTGTTCTGATTTATTGTTTTCTTGATTCAGTTTAAATTTTAGAAAGCAGTCTTAGAAGTTTTTGAAAGCTATAGCTTTTATCTTTTGCCCTTACCTATCCCCAGAACTCCACATTTGTATTTCTGTCAATTTGACATCTCCACGTAGATGTATACTGGGTACTCTTAGATACAACAAAACTCTTGATTCTCTCTCTTCCGCCAACCTGCCTTTTCCTCCCAATCTTTGTAAAGGTACCATTATCCACCTAATTCTTTAAGCCTAACTTTTGATTCTTCTTTTTCTTTTTACCCCAATATCATTCATTAGCAAGGTCTGTTGACTGTGCTTCCTGTCCATTAATTTATCTTCAGTAACATTCTTGCCCACACCATTGCTGTCTCTTTTTTGGACTCCTGTAGTAACTTTCTAACTTGTTCCCTGCCCCTGTCTTGCACATTCCTCAAAGCATTCTTTACACGACGTGCAGTCAGCTTGGTTTTTTCCCAGGTTTCATCATGTGTATCGTTCCTTTGCTTAATAACGATTTCCTGTCTTATGAAGGATAAAACCCAGATTCCTCAGGTTTTGTTCAGTAGAATTATGATGTGAGTACTCATCATCAAAACTTACTTGATGCCTTAGTTACACCAGTTCTGCTTCTATTTGTCTTCCCTGTGCTTGCTCAGATCACATGTATCTCTGTCTCTGTGCATCTCTTCCTTAGTGTGTGTGTGTGTCTGTCTGTCTTTGAGTTATTTCCCCCATTGCCAAGGTTTGCTTTCTCTTTCCCTCTCTGTTTTGAATAATAGAAAGTTGAACACAATTTCATGAGTGGGGTCTTGTTACCCTGCCCTTATCTTTAAAAATAAATAAGCAAAATAATCTGTTACTCTCATAAGAGAAAAAGACTAAAAGTTTATTGTTTTTTTTTAAATGTGTGGGTCACTCTTGTCTGATCTTTCCACTCTAGACGTCACTATTGAAGAAATATGAAGGATATATAGATCTGTGCTGTCCATTATGATAACTACTAGTCACATGTGACTATTTAAAGTAATTAAAGTGAAATAAAATGAAAACTGCAGTTCCTCAGTAGTACTGGCCACATTTCAAGGGCTTCATCGCCACAGGTGACCAGTGGCTCCTGTATTGGACAGCACACTAGAACATTTCCATCACTGCAGAGAGTTCTTTTGGATAGCACTGCCATACATAAAAAATGTAAAACTTGTGACTTTTGTACTCATTAATGAAAAATTTTCTTTAAACCCTTTTTAAAAAATTCCTTCAACAACATTAAAAAAATTTTAAAAATTGTGAGAACTTATATCAACGCACCACTGGTAACTGATCTTATCAAAGAGTGGGCACATGAAATGAAAATATTTTTTTACAAAGAACAGGATACTCATTGTTTATATTGGGTCATAGAGCAGTTGATAATATTTGTTTAAAAAGCTTAATGTGCTTTTCATTTTTATTTCAGATGATCCTGTACATGCAGCTCCAACCACTTCTACACGTGTGTTTTATATCAGCGTGGGGGTTTGCTGTGCAGTAATATTTCTTGTAGCAATAATATTAGCTGTTTTGCACCTTCATAGTATGAAAAGAATTGAACTGGATGACAGGTATTATACCTATTTTGGGAAAGGAAAAAAATTAAAGCGGTTATTTGCATTTACATGGGAGCCCACACACACCCATGCATTGCGGTGCACAGGGGAGGGAGGGAGGATGATCAGGTCTTGCCAAAAGAAAAATTACTGTCTTTTGTGATTACTGTCATTGTGTTTTTCTGAGTCTTTTTAAAACATTTTTTTGAAGACAGAAATTATAGTTTATTAGTTGGTGGGTAAGAAGTGAGGATCACATTTTTGTTCCCATCCCCTTTAACGTGACTCTATTCCAGACTCCTAGTACCTTTTTAAAATAGCCCTGTTTCTTCCTCCCAGTTCATCCCTCCATCATTATCCATCCATGCATCCATCCTTGCATCCAGTAAACATTTATTGAGAACCTACTGTGATTAAACCATTGGTTCTCAACCTGGTTGCACATTATAGTCATGAGTAAGCTTTTAAAACATGGGTCCCACCTTCCAGAGATTCTGATGTAATTGGTCTGGGGTGGTGTTTGGGCCATCACTATTTTTCTTAAAGCTTCCTGAATAGTTCTAATGTGTAGCCTTGGAGATATGCTAGGTGCTGGGAATATAAAAAAATTGATGATATACCTTATAGCTTCAAATATTCATCTTTGACATTAACCTATAATTATAAAAGTTTATAAATTTGATGATTATGATTTGTGTAGTATAGTGTGAGAATAGAAAAGGTGCTTGTCCCAGCCTAGGTGGGTCAGAGATGACAGGGAGGACTTTATAGCCAGGATAGGGTGAGAGGTAAAGATGGAGTGACAGGTTTATTTTCCCAGTACATAATTATCATTTTCCTCCTCAGTGATTCCCACTTGGTGATTGAAAGATTTCCAGCTTCTTGACTTGGCTTTCAAAGCCCTCCTTTAGTGGAGAGATATCTCCCATACTCGTTGAACCTTTCTTTCTTACTGTACCCCTACTTATGCTGCAGTCACATGATTTTATGTTCCACACTTTGGCCCTGTATATTTAGGGCCTTTACCTATACTTTAGGACTTTAGTTCATGTGTTCCTTTTGCCCACAGGGGTCCCTGCATTTTCCAAGGAAAACAGTCCAAACCTGTTCCTTCTTCAGCTTTCAACTCCCCATTGCCATTTCTTACATGAAGTCTTTTCTAAGTCTCCCAACTGCCCTCTGTTTCTTTCTCTCTCCTACCCTCGGCCTCCCCTTCTCCTTCTTTCCCTCTCTGTCTCTCTTTGGTAGCAGTTATTGTACTTTTTTCTCCTGTAATAATTTTTTGTCTCTCCCACTAGACTGTAAGCTTTGTCCGATTAGGGAGCAGTATGTCTTACTCATTACTGAATCCCCAGGCCTACACAGTGTCATACACACAGTGGATAGGCATATTTGTGGCATAAACAAAAACACAAGGGTACAGGGAACTGGTTGGACTCAGTACCTGTCCCTAAGTACTCTCTGTCCCTCTGTTTTACTTTATCTGAGTAGAGAAGGAAGAGGAAATTGGTAAGAATGAGAAGAGAAATACATGGGTGGGACATGTTTCAGAATAGGTTTTGTGTATATGGTGGTGGTGAAGTTAGAATTGGGGTTTACAGAGGAAGAAATGGCATTTGGAAGCTTCTGAGTGGGAAGTAAGGTAACAGGAACATTTAGGTAAAGGAGTCACTGAGGAGCATGACATTTAGGAGTCTTGATACATTTTCCTTGAATGCTTACATGTGTGCTAGGGCTTTGAACACACATTGGACAGAGTTGTGCAAAAACTGTCAAGATACTATGGGGCATGTACCTCAGCCTGCTAAAATAATCAGTTACTACTCATGCATTGGGTGTTTCGGTTCTTTCCATTTTCAGGCATAGGTTTCCAGACATTGAATAAAAGCAACTTACATTATTGCTTGTTTTCAGAGTATAACCTAGTGGTTAAGACCATGGACTCTGGAGCCAAAGCATCTCTGAATTCTGGCTGTTCTACTTACTAGCTTTATGGCTAGTAATGTACTCAACATCTTTGTAGGCTTTTCAAGAATTCTGAGGTGGTATGAGAGTGCCACCTACTGTTCAGTTACTGGAGAGAAACAACCAGTAAATAATTTTGAGTCTGGCCATTTAACCATCAGGGTATGTTGGTTGCAGGTATTATTTAAGTAGTGGTTTTACATATATTATATAACTGGAGCCTCTCAAAAATCCTGGGAGATAGGTTTTCTTAATCCCATTTAATGGGTAAGTAAATTGAGGTCCTTTATTTTCCCCTCTTTGGGGATGGTAATGTTTCTCTTCCCTCCTCTAGACTTCTAACAACATTGATTTTTAGTCTGATCTTTGAGTAGTACTTAGAACTCCAAAAACCGGTGCTCTGTGGTTACCCACTGAAAAGACAGAAATACATGCTTAAGAGGTATTAATTTGTAGTAATCTTGAGTACAGGGTTAGCAGTTGCTTGAGCCTACCATCTTCTGGATCTCCCATATTACTTAAAGAATGTGATATAATGGAATGCTTTAAGTACTAGAGAATTCCGAAAAGTCCCATAAATTCTAAAAAGGTGGGATTGAGGAAGAAGGAAAATGTATGTGATTCAGTAAACTTGAACCAGATACGATACCCCTTCCCAAGCCTTGAGCATGTTGGTATATTTGATTTACTTTGATATTCCTTATTTGATATAGGCCATTTGATTTGAGACCATTAGTGGAAGAGGACTGTCATTCTACTCCTTTTTTAAAAAAGCAATCTAATTGAATGGCATGGGCTCTCTTCCTAAGAGAAGACCCATAGGTCCCTAACACGGTCTTTGTGCGAGGTTCAGGCCTACTATCTATGGTGTCTGAGGACTAATACCTGCATTTCTGAATGACTGACAAGATGAACCTGCTTGAGACGGTGGAGGTAGACAAGAAAAATAGCTCTTCATTATGAAATGAAAATTTCAACATGGAATGTTTGATGGACATCCATGCATTATTGTGATGGTCATCAGGATTTTAAGCTGGTTACAATGGCTGCATGCATTTTTATATGTACAGAAAAAGGAAATTTCTCACTGAAGCTGACTTACCAGTTATTTCTCTCAAAAATTGTTTGCAGCATCAGTGCCAGCAGTAGCTCCCAAGGGCTGTCTCAGCCATCTACCCAGACGACTCAATATCTGAGAGCCGACACACCCAACAATGCAACTCCTATCACCAGTAAGAGTTAATTTAATTCCAAAGATGATTTACTGACGTTGTCTGTGGTCTGTCTGCCAGTGGCACCTGTGTGCTTAGTTATTTGTGGGGCATGTGTACCATCCCATGTACATAGTATCTAACGTGCATAGAATTAGGCTTGATCCCCAACTTCTGCTTTCTAGAGCATTGAGTGAAACATTCTAAAATTAGAGTAGTAAAAATAATTTTTAAAAATTTAAGTTTAGGGCGCCTGGGTGGCTCAGTCGGTTAAGCGACTGCCTTCGGCTCAGGTCATGGTCCTGGAGTCCCGGGATCGAGTCCCGCATCGGGCTCCCTGCTCAGCGGGGAGTCTGCTTCTCCCTCTGACCCTCCTCCCTCTCGTGCTCTCTGTCTCTCATTCTCTCTCTCACAAATGAATGAATAAAATCTTTAAAAAAAAAAAATTTAAGTTTAATTGCTAGAATTAATTTGGGGGGAGATTTCCATAGATTAATTCCATCAAAAGGGATACTGAATCGCTATAGAAATTCAGGAGGAATATTTTCAGGTAGTAAGATAGACTAAGCCATTGAGCTGTATGAAAACAGAGTCTTAGATTTTAATGAATTGTTTGATAATCTTAAGGGCTGTGGACTTTACATTGTGTTTTTTTTTTAAGATTTTATTTATTTGAAAGAGACAGAGAGCCCTCGGCAGGGAAGAGAGGGGCAGAGGGGGCAGGAGAGGGACCAACAGACTCTGCCTCTGCGCTGAGCGTAGAGCCAATCCCAGGACCCTGAGATCATGATCTGAGCTGAAACCAAAAGTCCAACGCTTAACGAGCTGAGCCAGCCAGGCATATTGTTTTTTAATCACGATAGGAAGCTAGCTGCCATTAGAATTGAGAACATGGAATCTGATTTCCTTTCTCTTTAAACAGGATTTTGATGAAAGTTTTTATACTGTAACATATTGATGTTGGGGAAAATAATCATTCTTAGAATATAATTTAGACATAATGAGGAATCAGTCTCCACACAAACAAAAAAACAACGTAATCATCAAGATAAACAGTAGATCAGAATCAGGACTAAATTCAGTAGTGCTATTGATTAATTAGGTTCTTACAGACCTGTTGTGGTCTTTCTTTCTTTTTTTTAAAAAGATTTATGTATTTATTTATTTGACAGAGAGAGTGAGTGTGAGAGCAAGCACAAGCAGGGGGAGTGGCAGGCAGGCAGAGGGATAGGGAGAAGCAGGCTCCCTGCTGAGCAAGGAGCCCGATGTGGGGCTCGATCCCAGGACCCTGGGATCATGACCTGAGCCAAAGGCAGCCGCTTAACCGACTGAGCCATCCAGGCACCCCTGTTGTGGTCTTTCAATACTGTTTGCTGTTAAAAAAGAACTAGGATTCGCGGCGCCTGGGTGGCTCAGTCGTTAAGCGTCTGCCTTCAGCTCAGGTCATGATCCCGGCGTCCTGGGATCGAGCCCCGCATCAGGCTCTCTGCTCGGCGGGAAGCCTGCTTCTCCCTCTCCCACTCCCCCTGCTTGTGTTCCCTCTTTCGCTGTGTTTCTCTCTGTCAAATAAATAAAATCTTTAAAAAAAAAAAAAAAAGAACTAGGATTCTTTAGGGAAGTGGATGATTTCAGGACTAAGTCAGAAATGAACAAGATAAACCTGGGACATGTTGAGATGGGACATTTGAGCATCAAAAAGAGTGCAGTGACTTGAAACTGAATATGTAAAAATCCATGAGTTTGTAATAGTTTTTGAAAAAGTTGATCATGATCATGTGAGGTAACTAATAATGCCTCATTCTGATGACTGGCTATATGAACTGTATTTCATATTTCAGTGGTTTCAGAGTAACCAGGTAGTGCTGGTTGGTGAGGGAAAATGCTTCTTTACAGAAGGATCCTACTTAATAAATGTGGAAGGAGTGATAGAAAATCATATTTGCAACCTCTGTTAAAATATTTGATTCAGGAAAAGATCATCAATGTTTAAAACCTTGTGAACAAAGGGAAATGGGATCATTTGAGGGATCAGACTGTCACAGTCTCACTCCACTAATGAAACTTTGCATCGCTGACAGTCGGACAGCTAGATATTTTGTACTCCCACATGTGATATACCATCCATAGAGTATTTTTATCTCCCTTCCCCACTCCAAGAGTTAACCTGCACCTAATCACAGCTGTGGAACTGACTGGCAGTTTACAAGAAATACAGGGATAGAGGAACAAGTTAAATGATACTGGAAGAAGCAGATGCTGGATATTCTCTAGGATAACTGATCTGGTTTCTTTAATAAGAGTGGCAAGAAAAAGAAGAGGGGAAAGAGGGAATGCTCAAGATTAAGTAAAATTTATAAGAAATCATGACAATAGTTACCATCACTGCCAATGAAAGAAAGAATTATATGCCCTTTAGAAGATATGATGACAATTATGAAAGTAGTTCAAACTGTCAGAAGAAACAAATCATTGCTTTTAATGTTTAGATGTCAAGCTTTGCTCATTAGTCAATTCTTGATTGTGACTATGACCTTGAAGAAGTAGAGATTCAATTATTATTATTATTATTATTTTTAAAGATTTTATTTATTTGAAAGAGAGCGACACAGCAAGAGAGGGAACACAAGCAGGGGGGGAGTGAGAGAGGGAGAAGCAGGCTTCCCGCCGAGCAGGGAGCCCGAGGTGGGGCTCGATCCCAGGACCCTGGGACCATGACCTGAGCCGGAGGCAGACGCTTAACAACTGAGCCACTCAGGCGCCCCGAGATTCAATTATTATGTACTAAAAGGAAAATACTTTTTAAAAGTCCATCAAAATTATTTATTAAAAATATTTTTAGATACTATCTATAAGAAGTATTATTTTTATGGACATTATCTTAAGGAGATAGATGGTTCATTTATTATGTATGGCAAAAACAAACACTTTTTAAAAATACAATGGAAATTCATTTGTGTATAAATAAAAAGAGACAAAAGAGAGGAGTAAAAAAATATTTGAAGACAGAATGGCCAAGAATTTTCCAAAATAACAAAACACAACAGACCACAGATCCGAGAAACTCCCAACAACTCCAGGTAGGATTAAACATATACAAATACAGACACATACCTGCATATATCCTATTCATACTGCTGATCAATGGAATCAGGTGTTGTCAGCTTAATCCGTTGGTCACAAAGCTCCCAAGCATATCATCTAGATACTGTAGCAGCCGTTGGTGACGGTCATCTAGGTCTGCTAACTCTTCAGGGAGTTTTCTTCCCATATGTTTACCGAAGTGCATAAATCTTAGAGATACCATTCCAATTTTTACTTGCTGATGCTGAATCCTTCTTTGATTCTAACATTTTTTTCTTGGAATGAAAAGTTTAAGTTATGGCTAGGTAATTTTGTTTTTGCTTCCAATGTAGTAAGAATGGGAAATATGGGAGCTGAGAAACAGATGTATCTCACAGTGATTTGACCAGGCTATATAAAACGAGATTGATTAAATTGATCAGATGTTTTGTTAGAAAAGATAGTTTTACAAACATCTATTCATTTGAAAAGTTTTTTTGTTAGGAGACTATATTAGAAAATCTTTGGGAAAAAGTCCATAAAAGGGATTAAATTAAACACTATGAGTCAAAGCTTATTTCATTTGGCTGAAAGGCAGTTGAAGTGGTGGTAATGGTAATATTCATTTTAGTGTTTATTGTTTTAATTACTCATTTTAAGATTTTGGGGTAGGTGAAAAGTTTTTCTTTAAAATTTAGTGTGGTCTTTATAGGTAATTTTCCCTGTTCATGTCTGTGCCTTTTTCCTTTTATGATTTTTACATTTATTTATTCCTGTGAGTTGAGTCCTGAAGTTTTGACTGAATTAATTGACCCTGATGGCATAGTAAGGGTATTTATATTTCTTGGTCTGGCTTTGTTGGCTCCTCAGGTTATCCTACCCTGCGGATAGAGAAGAATGACCTGAGAAGTGTCACTCTTTTGGAGGCCAAAGCTAAGGTGAAGGATATAGCAATATCCAGGGAGAGGATAACTTTAAAAGATGTACTCCAAGAAGGTATTTATTATCTCAAAACCAGTTTCTCAAGGAGGATTTAATGTTAGCACTTTAAATTTTTTTATTTCAAATTTTAAGAATTTCATCTCTTTGTGTTTAAGGGTAGAAGTGCATAATTTATTTCCTTTATAAAACTGATTTTCATTTTTTATTTCTTTAGATCTTTAATTTGCCTTAATACAGCTTTGGCATAATTCTTAATTTTCAAGTATATTAAAGCATATATTATATATTAGCGTTTTTTACCTTTAAATACATTTTCATTCTTGTTTAAAGATGATATCACCACCTAGCAAGTCTATTTGCTGTGACAGATAGTATGGGGACTCTAGCAGACAGAGCAAGCATGGGCTTTGGAGTTACACCCAACTTCCAATCCCAGTCTCACAATTTATCACCTGTGTGACCTTGGAGAAATCATTTAATGTCTTCCACGGAGTCCAATTTCCTCTCCTATAAATTGAGACAAAATATTGTCTGTTGTTGAACTAGGTGTGAAGATCAAATGAAATGATGCATTAAGTGAACTAACACACAATAGATATTTTATAGATGTTATTACCCTTCCCTTCCCCACTTGTTGGTCCTTCTTTTCTTTCTTGAGTTTTAGGGTATTAATTGGGGAGATGGCTGACAGAAGAGTATAGAAATTAATAATAAAGTACTTCATTGAGCCCCTCAAGTTGTTAAAGAGAATTACCTTTCTCTTTCCACAATCCAGTTTGGAATGTTTTAAATATATATGAGTCATTCTGAATTCATCTCTTGGTTGAGATGGTTATAGGTCAATCACAGCTAAGAGAGAGGCTTGAACTGCCCCCAGTGACAAATAGTAATTAAAAGAAGCAAATTTTTGGGGTCTATTTTTGAATGTATGATGGGAGTCCATTTTTCTCCTTTGTTATTCTGAAACTAAGCCTAGAAGCTAACTCATAAATGCCTCTACTGATACCCAATTACTGAGTTCCGGTATTCCTGGCTATAACATTAGTTTATTTTGGATAATTCAGAAAGAATTCTCATATACTTAGTTTAAATATGACATTTCTAAAAGCACGTTAAAATATTTCTTAGTTACAAAGAATTTCTCTTTTTTGCTTTTAAAAATTTATTTTTTTAAGACTTTTTTTTTTTTAAAGATTTTATTTATTTGACAGTGAGAGATACAGCGAGAGAGGGAACACAAGCAGGGGGAGTGGGAGAGGGAGAAGCAGGCTTCCCGCCGAGCAGGGAGCCTGATGCGGGGCTCGATCCCAGGACCCCAGGATCATGACCTGAGCCGAAGGCAGACACTTAACGACTAAGCCACCCAGGCGCCCCTAAAGACTTTTTATTAGAGGGAGAGAGAAGGAGAAAGCTTGAGCAGGGGGAAGGGGCAGAGGGAGAGAAACGAGCAGACTCCCTGCTGAGCAGGGAGCCCAATGCAGGGGATGATTAATGATCTCATTAATTATTATTTTTCCTTTAGGTACTTTTGGGCGTATTTTCCATGGGATTTTAGTAGATGAAAAAGATCCAAATAAAGAAAAACAAGCATTTGTAAAAACAGTTAAAGGTAGGATTTTTTTCCATACTATTTCCAGAATGCTTTCCTAAGGTGGATCATGCCAGTGAAATTTCATCTCAAATTCTCAGTCTGTGCCTGACTTTAAGTCAGTCCATGGTAATTTAGCTGATATGAGACTAACTTTTGAGGAAATTTGGGTTGTTCTCATAAGGTATAGAAAATAGAGTTCTAATAATTTAAGATGTTAAAACACTAGTTATTACCCACGTTTGTAGTTAAACTACATCCATTTGACTTCATTGTTGCTGTATCTAATACTGTGTTTTCCTAGGTAAAAATTTTGTTTTTTCCCTCTTAAAAACATTATCAGTTTTTCTTTCTTTCCTCCTTCCCACTCCCAATACTGCAGTCTATAAAGAATAAAAAAATGAACCCCAGACTAAAAGTACCTTATGTGAATAGCCTTGTTCACTTTCCTCCCACTCCCCCTGCCTTTTTTCTGCTGTTATATATAATGCTGCAGAAAATATCCATGTGTGTATGTCTACTTTTTGGCTTACTTTTATAGGTATAGCTGTAGTTGGCATTGCTGTCCCAAGAGGTGTTTACATTTAAAATTTTGATAGATACTCTCTGATTGTTTGCTAAAGGGTAGCACTACTTTATGTTATCATGAACAGAATACCTGTATTCACATAATCTCCTTTTGGAGAAATTTGATGCTTAATTTTTCACCTTATAATTTGATATTTATAAAAGTTTAAATCTTAGTTATATCTGTTTGCTCATTTTAAGAGAAAGAAAAATGTAATTTATAGGGTGCCTCATGTCTGACAGTGTCTGATACAGACAGATGACAGGATGTTAATTTTGAAAAAAACAAATTTAGCATTTTGATGTAGAAATAGAGGGAAAAATTAAATTCAGTTTTATATGTAGGAGGTGACAGTTTTATGAAATTTTCGAAGTTAGTTTATAAGATCGTATGTTTTTAAATCTTAAATGAATTCATGTAAAGTATGAAGGGTTTATGTTTATTGTTTCTAAAAAGCTGTACTAACCTAACAAAAAAATGTGAAATTTGATTTTTTTTAATTTAGCAAAATTGCTTGCTTAAGGATCCTGCAAAAACATACACACACAGACACTAAACCACTAAACCACCACACAAACCACTAAACAAGTGGTTTAACTTACTATACTGTTCAGTATGTATTTTATCTACCTACTTCTAGCCCCAAAGCACTTTTAAAAGGTAATATTTAAATTAGGTCCAGTAGATTTCCTGACTAGTTTTGAAGAATATTTTACATATTACTCTTTGTAAATGTAAAATTTGAACCCTAAGTTTAATAACTGTTGACTTTTGTCACATTTCCCCCATTTTTAAGGAAATATTTCTCTAATTTTAATATTTCTTCTGGGGTTTATACGTAATCTGTGGGCAGTTTACAACTGGGCTGTTACTAATTTGTTCTGAATGAATCTTGAATTAGCAGAAGAGCCTTCTAATCAGAATTGGATTGATTTAGGGTTGGAAGGGGGGGAAAAGGAAATAATAGTGATAAGAAAACACAATGTGGATACTGGGACTGTTTCACAAGATAAGATTTCTCCTTCCGGATACACTTGAAATTGTAGTCACTTGGTTGTTTCTACGCCTTACCACTGTAATTATAATGTTCCTTCTGAGCTAGCGGGAAATAAGAGAAAGCACAGTGAGTCCTTAGCCAAGATGTGGTCCTGGTTTGCATGAGAAACAAAGAGGAAGTGCATTGACCACAGCCCTTGCCTCAAAATTATTAGATAACTCCACATGATTGGGTATTTCTGAGATTTACTCTTTTGGAATGTTATTATTTTTTTAATTGAAGCTATGTAGAGCTGACCAAGTTCTTTCACAAATCCGTATGCTTTGTTACATGCCACACAATTAGAAGTGCAGCTTAAAATGCAAGAAGAAAGTTTTCAAAAGATTATTGCCCTTTGCAAAGCTTTAGGCATAAGCAAGAAATTGCAGTTTGGCTTCTTAAAATATTCATAAATTTGCACAGAGACTTAATGGACATTCTAATATAAATTTACAGAGATTAAAATTAGGAATCTGAATTTCACAGTGAATATTGTGAAATTGAATTCGATAGAATTAATTAATTTGAGGTTATTGGTGTTAGGGTCTTGTTTTGTTTCATAGCTGCTAATATTTTGCAATTTTGAAATGTTTTTTATCGTTTTGTTTTTTCTTGTAATATTTTGGAATGTAAGTATTTGAGTATTTTTTTTTTCAAATGTATACATCTTAAAATAGACATTTCAGTATTTAAAATTAAAAAACTTGGACTAGACTGGGAAAGGAATCCAGGAAATTGATTTTTTCTTACTAAATGGATAAAATTTTTTTTTCCCAAACTCAGAGTGTTCTTAGATCATCATCCAGTTCAGGTGTCCCTTGCTTAATAAAGTATGCTTATTAAAGTTAAGAATTTGAAAAAAATTATGCATAAAATGACATGCCCTGAAAAATTAACTTTTACTTGGTTCTTAATACCCTTGACAGGAAAGTAAACAATTACTAACTGGGTGCAGACCTCCAGCTATTACTATTGCAATCTGAAAAAGACCCTACTGGTCCCCAAATCATCATGACCATAATTTATTTTTTTATTTTTAAGATTTTATTTATTTATTTGATAGAGACACAGTGAGAGAGGGAACACAAGCAGGGGGAGTGGGAGAGGGAGAAGCAGGCTTCCTGCCGAGCAGGGAACCCAATGTGGGGTTTGATCCCAGGACCCTGAGATCATGACCTGAGCCAAAGGCAGACGCTTAATAGCTGTGCTACCCGGGTGCCCCATGGCCATAATTTAATTAAAATTTATTTAGACTACAGAAAGAGAAATAAAGGCACATTCTGCCATTCCTAGATGATCCTAAATTTTGAGCAGTTTTTAGACAACTAGAGTTTATTCCAGCAGACATTGGTGTGAAGCACCTTTTCCAGAGAAGTACCAAGTGTTTTAAGTTCTTGGCTTTTTGTCCACCCATCTTACATTCCTACAAAGGTTTTAAACTAAATGAAGCTGTCTGGAAAAGTGGACACAACTAGCAAGTGTGGAAGAGAGAGTGATTCTGGTTAGTTTTAGAAGAAAATGAAATTTGTGGTTTCTTAGCTTCAATAGCTCTACTTTTAAGGAGCAAATGTGACACAGACTCCTAGTGCCTGACTTCAGTGTTCTGGATTTTACTCTTGGTTCACTATTTTACTAGGTAGAGCTGGGATGTGGATCTTAGCTCTGCCACTCTTTCTCTCTTTTTCTCTCTCTTGTTGCATTGATCAGAAGCTTTATAAATTATTACTACTATTTTTACTGTTGATATACAAATTAGTCTTTTTCTTCATATAGATCAAGCTTCTGAAATTCAGGTGACAATGATGCTCACTGAAAGTTGTAAGCTACGAGGTCTTCATCACAGGTGAGAGAAGAAACCACCCAGCACTTAAGTGTTAATAAGCATGGTAACATTGTATGCTACATTTTTATTTTAAGAACGTTGTGATATGTTCTGAATTGAAAGCTTTTTGGAATAGCTTTTTTTTTTTTTAAGAATATTAAAGTGAAATGCGTGCCTAGTGCACAAAATTTAAAAATGCAGTGAAGTATAAAGAAGAAAATAAAGCAGAGTATGTAAGTCCACATCTGGATAAACATAGCTAAGCTTTCAAGAGAGTTTTTACATATTTGTATGCGTATTTTCCTTTAAAAAATAGGATAGGGATATATACTAAAAAATATCTGCTATGAAATTTTTTAACAAAGGATACCAAAAACAAGCATAATTAACACCAGTAATCCCGTCTCCTAAATTCAGTGATAGTGAACATTTTGTCTTTTGTTTGGTGTTTGTGTATATGTCTATTATCTATCCAGATGATACATAGATACTTATGAGTGTAGAAATATTTTAAAGTAAAATGGGTATCTCAACACTTTCAACACTTTCAATTCATTTCCAACATGTAATTCCACACGCCCCATGACGATGTTTTCTTAAATAATCATAACACCATTATTATCTTTAATAAGGTTAATAGGCTTTTTGATATAACAAAACAATGTACCTAACTCTTCATAGAAGTAACTATGAATTCATGTCCACATTTAAAAAAGATATGTAGCAGCTGATTGAATGGATGTACTATGTTTTATATTTAACCAGTGTCTTATTAGGTCATAGTATAATTTAAAAAAAATACTGGTAGTTCTATATAAAGAACTTTTTTTTAAAAAAAGCTTGATTATAAGTCCTCTTCACAGAGCTATAATGAAAGCTTCTACCTTCTGAGATAGAAAGGGCTTAAATATAGTATTGCATTATGCAGCAGTATCAGTAATGGGGCAAGGTCTTCGTTTTTTGTTTTTTTTTTAACAGCTTGTAAAGTCAGTTTCGTTTGTATGCTTATTGCAGATTTGGTTGCGTATATTTACAAAAATGGGACAGTGACCATCCCTGTTGGAAGATATTTATGGACTTCTGGGGAAAAAAAACACATGAAAAAGTGATGCATGCAAAAGGCAGCATGCATTTTAATTTCTGGGTACTTTGAGCAGTTACTTGGGTTCTGCCAAAAAATAAGATGACTATGCAGAGTTCTATTTTGAATGTCATTTATACTTTTGTTCATATTTGAAAGAATTTGAGAACCTAAAAAGAAGGCAGCAGTTGTAAGATTAATAAAATGGTAATGAAAATCAAACTGAGTTTTATGGCATTGTGATGGTGGAAGAGAAAACAAATAAGCCAACAATGAAGACACAAATATTTTTGCTGTGATTGAACATAAAATATCTCTTAGCTTCTGGGCAGTCAGGCTTGAGGAACCATTAAAAGTTGATAAATCTCAGTATTAGAAGAGAAACAAACATAAATATTCCTTGGGGGAGGAAAAAAGGTTTTCTAGTTTCAAATTGTGAGGCAGCTGCCTCATTAAGCTTATAATCTACTTGGGACATTGATTAATATAACTGAACAGATAAACTTTGTAGTTTCACTGAGTATAAAAAATCCCAGGGACCTTTGAAAAAATTGAACACACAGTACTGAGTGACGGAAGATGTCCCATTGAAGGATTAAAGTCAAGTGGTTGAAGAAAGTTATCTTCCATTGGCCTGATTCAGTCCAAGTGTAGAACTTACAGAGGAATGGATGGCTAACTCATTCCTGAGACTGTATTTTCTAAAAAACACATTTTGTTTCCTCTGAGTAACAAAATAAGAATTGGTTAATGGTCATTTGGAAATGTCCTTCTTGGCAGTATTGGAAATGCTTGATGTTCTCTTATGCTGACACTAGGGGGAAGAGTCAAAAGTGTTTAATACTAGTATGTAATGTTAATCTAGTACTTCGGTACCTACCTGGTATTCTTACCCTGGTAGAAGGTCTGCACCACTTCAGCACAGGAGTGGGAGACTGGACAAATCCAGACAAAGCCAGGATTTTCCTAAGAAGCAGTTTTATATCCATTGTAGCCCAAAAATGGTTTGGCTGAAAAAATGTTCAGAACAAGTATTTGGAGCATTTTTCATGTGGCTTTTCAGCTGTAGTGTTTTCCAGCCAGCATCCTATCAGGATGAATTAGCAGCCCCAAGACACCCTTAGGTGATGGAATTCCACATGCTAAATGGGGTTGATACTGGACATTCAGTGATTGGGGAAAGTCTTCTAGAGGCAAATTGTGTAGCTTAGTCATAGTTAATTGTTCTTCCTGGCTATACAGTAATACCAGGACTCCTAGGTTTTTTGCTTTTTGTTTTTTTAAGTAGGTGCCACACCCATTGTGGAGCCCAATGCAGGGCTTGACCCTGGGATCAAGACATGAGCTGAAATCAAGTGTTGGATGCTTAACTGACTGAGGCACTCAGGAGCCCAGGACTCCTAATTTTTAATGAGCAAAACATATTGTCAATATGTAGAAAGTACATTATTGTTCTTTACACTCATTGTTGCAGGTTTTTTCACTTTTAAGGGGACTAGGGCCTACCATGCTTTTCTTTCTGACCCCTGGTGTTATGGCTGTGTCTATGCATTTATTTGTTCATTGGCTTATTCTTTTTTTATTTTATTTTATTTATTTATTTGACAGAGAGAGAGATAGCGAGAGCAGTAACACAAGCAGGTGGAGTGGGAGAGGGTGAAGCTAGCTTCCCACTGAGCAGGGAGCCCAATGTGGGGCTCGATCCCAGGACTCTGGGATCATGACCTGAGCTGAAGGCAGACGCATAACGACTGAGCCACCCAGGCGCCCCTCATTCGCTTATTCTAATTCATGAAGTGCCAATTTTGCACTTGCAACTCTGCTAGGCCTGAGGGATAAAAATGAACTTAATGAGCTTCAGTGTTCATATTACAGAACTTATCAAGCAAACGAAATACACTCAGTAAGAAATGATGCCTTGTTTCAGAATTTAACTTTTTAGAACTGGTTGTGATGTATAATTCCACATGCAAAACATGTTTACTTCGTGTTTTAACATTCCACAAGTAAGAATTGTAAAGTGTTGAAATATTTTAAAGCATTTTGAAAGTTTTTATTCCTTTTTCCACTGGAATTTGTGAGAATAATTTTTACTGTAAGTTAAAATAGCTGTAGAAATAAAATTTATTTTATTTTAATTGTAACTTAATTTAATGACATCAGAAGTGCTTCATAACAGAGTGCTCTTGAGTTATTTCTCCTTGTAGTTTGCTCTCCACTGGCCCAAGCTGCCTGATGGCAACCTTCTTAACACTGAGTGCCTCCCAGCTCTCCCTCTGCAAGCACACTGGGCAAGACTGAGAACTAGATGCAGTTCTTGTCTCATGTCCCCACAGAACTTTCCCTTCCTCTGCCTTGTTCTTGTCTACAGCACCAGTTTCTGCTTTCATCCATTCTTCATCTAGGTCCCAGATCTTCCTCTTTATCCTCCTTTCCTTTATAAAATGGACAGAATGAAGACCAGCCATTTTGTACCTTAAAACATCTTCATGCGGCTTGTTACCTCTTCTGGAGGGCTTTTAATGATTTGATCTCAAAAAGCACTAAAATACCTTTAACTCTGTTCAGTGGATTTCAGACATGAGGAGAGGAGCAGAGGAGTAATTTTGGGGAGGGGGGTTTGAGAGATCGGGTAACTCCATTACTTCTAAAATCATGGTGTGCTCAGTTAAACCTGAATACAGACCTGCTGTAGTCATTTTAGTGTGCATGCGACTTGGTGTGAAAAGAGGCTCTGTCACTTCCCTTGTATTCTTTCTTGCTCTCCTGGGAGGGCATATCCATTGGTCCAGGGGAAAGCACAAGGGTTTCTGGAATCAGATGACGCTTTGAATTTTTTTCTCCATGCACTTGTTGTTTGTCCTTGGCAGATTATCTAACCTCTCTCTGTATGGGTTTCCTCACAAAGTGGGACTAATCATCACTGGCACTGTTAGACTGAAATGCAAGCAGAAGCTGTACTTAGAGGGGTTACCTTGTGCAAGTTTACTCATCTCTGAGTCCTCATTTTCCGCTCCTTGGGGTTAGTGCTTTCCCTTTTAGTAACTCCTGTGCAGCATGAAGGGAGCCCATAGCTTTCACTTGGGCACTGTTGGGCCAGAATTGTGTGACTGTGGTTTTAAAAGAGACACATGCTCAGTTGAGACAATTGAGACAATTTAGAAAATCCAGAAACGGCAAGGTAGCAAGCAAGGTAGAAATGATCTAAAGCCCTGCAACTCAAAGACAACAACTTTTAATTCTTGTCCTATTTTTGTGCAGAGTTTTATTAGTTTTTCTCCATGTTTGGAATTATCCTGCAAACATATGTGAATTTTGTACCTTGCTTTCCTATAAGATAAACATTTACTCCTCTTAACATCTTTTTGTGGCCATTTAATTGTTATATACTGTCCTATGATTTGGGTGTACTCTTGCCTTACATTTGCACGTTGAAGTCGTTTGCAACTTTTTGCTATTAATACTGCATTAACTATCCTTGTTCATGTAGCTTTTTAATGTTTAATATTTCCTTATTAAATATCCTTAGAGGCAAAATTTGCTAAGTTAAGGAATAGGAATGTTTTTAAGGCTATGTTACTTGTGTTGTCAGATACTTATTAAATGCTTATTTTTTGTGGGACAAAATACAGAGCATTGGGTATAAAAATAAGAGTTCATGTTAGTTTTTGCATTTTAGAAATTTTTAGCATAGTGGGGAAAATGAGATAATTATGTGTAAAGTTACATAACCTTGGAGAAAATTAAATTATTTCCAGATACCAGTGGAAAGAGGTGTCATTAGGCAATAGGATGAAAGTATTTATGTGTGCCATGGAAATTTAAAGAGAAACAAGAATGTTACTACATGCTTTGGCTTTATTCATAACAGCATTTTATGGTTGGTGTGATGCCATGTTAGAGGTATGGAAACTAAGGCCAGGAGAGATAGTCACACAGACTATCTATAAATGGTAAATACAGGATTTAGAAATCAGATTCTAAGTCTCATGTGACCAGCTAAGGATATCTTGGCTGTTGTGGCATTTGAAGCCTCTTTGAGGTCTTCTTGATGATCATACTCTGGTCCATAGTCTGCATGGAGGTCTTTTTTTTTCTTCTTTAATGTGTTGATGGACTTAAGGGTATGTTATAATACACTCATAATGCATTAAGTCATTTTTAAATGTCTCTGATTACCCTTTAAGAGTAAAGATTTAGTGTGGCTAGAGTGTGTCTTCAGAGAATCCAGTCCACAGGAAACAACTTCGAGTTTATAGCTTTTCCCTACCAAGAAAATGCATATGTAGAAAATACTGAAGTCTAGTTTTAAAGGGCATTTGTTAATTTTATTGCATTTTTAAAGGTAATCATGTTTTTAAGTATGTTTGAGACTTTCTTGTTTTGTTTTAGGGTATCTTTATTACTTTTTATTAAAAATAAGCCTTTGAGGTTTTAGATTTCACTTGTCTTTTTCCTGATTTCTTATTATTTTGTAGAAACCTTCTTCCTATTACGCATGTGTGTATAGAAGACGGAGAAAAACCCATGGTGATACTGCCTTACATGAATTGGGGGAACCTTAAATTGTTTTTACGGCAGTGCAAATTAGTAGAGGCCAATAATCCACAGGTGAGAAAAATTTGCCCAGATATCAATTATTTACCAGGAACTTCTGATAGTATCTTTGAAAGTAGATGTTAACCTTCTTGTATATAAACTGTGTAAAAGCCTGCAAAAGAAACTCAAAATGAGCCAGAAGATAATTATAACCTGTTGATTTAGAGGAAGATGGTTTATGATTCCTGTCTTGAAGGTTGCACTTTACTGATGCTGAAGTTTTTCCTTTTTCTCCATTGTGTGTTTATTTATAATCACCTCAACTCTAACACCATCTCCGTCATTTTCCTGATAACTCTTTGAAGGCACTGGTACTAGATCTCCCTTCTAGGAATGGAAACACACTTGACTGAGTCATTTGGTCCATATTGTATCAAAAGCTGGTGGTGACTGGAAGTCTGGATTATGGAGATAATTGGATCTATTTTTAATATGCTTGGCTGTAAGATGTCAGTCATCTAAGAGTTTCCTTCTCTTCACTGCTTGTGCACATAGCTGTGAAGCATTTGGCTACATTCCAGATGCATGGTGGTAGTTATCCTAAAGCCTAGCTGTTGTTTTGTTGCCTACTGTAACTTGTAGCCATATTAAGTTTGTTTTAGGGTTTATAATAGTGTACGTACTATGGTTACCAGGAGAAAGTGGATTCAAAGGCTGCATTGAGTACTTGACTTAATATGTCACTATGCTTTGTAAATTGACAGGATTAAAGCCAGGGTTCCAACAAGTTGTTGGAGGCTGTAGCCCATCAGCATCACCTGAGGAAGAGTTTCATTCCTCAGCCCACAAGACTGGTATCCTGGCTCTAAGAGGAACACGTCAGTAGTGAGAGCTGTAGACTTCTGTTAGCTAGAAAATGGTCCCCAGAGATCATCTAATAAAAACTATGAGTTTTAAAGAAGAGAACAGGTTACTGAATAGTAAGCACTGGAAATTTTACCTTGAGAGTCATGGAACAACTAATTATTGAGCAGCTACTATATGTGCTGGATGTTGGGGAGCTATACCTGACAGATGAGAGAGGCGGTAAAGTAAATGGTAAGTTATATTACAGAATGGTAAGGCTGTAGTAGATACAAATATTAGGGAGCTATGAGAACATATTCTTGGTCAAGAAGTAGGTTTTTAAAACTCCATGTGTAGGTGTGAAGAAGTATTTTGGGATGGAGTAGGACTGTGGAATAAAATAAGCAGCTGACTGCCATCATCATTTTTGTGCTAACTGCAAACGTCGTTTTTTTTTTTTTTTTAAACCACAGGCAATTTCTCAACAAGACCTGGTACACATGGCTATTCAGATTGCCTGTGGAATGAGCTATCTGGCCAGAAGGGAAGTTATCCACAAAGACCTGGCTGCTAGGAACTGTGTGTAGGTGCCATGAGCTCATCATGTCATTTCAGTGGACTGGGGGCTCTCCCCAGGAGTCACAGTGGGCATCGTATGGTATTGAAGAATAACTGTGATCCATATGTTTTAAATACGCCAATTGTATTTGATGTTCATGTCTCTACTTTTCAGCATTGATGACACACTCCAAGTTAAGATCACAGACAATGCCCTCTCCAGAGATTTGTTCCCCATGGACTATCACTGTCTGGGGGACAACGAAAACAGGCCAGTTCGGTGGATGGCTCTGGAAAGTCTGGTTAATAATGAGTTCTCCAGTGCTAGTGATGTGGTAAGTTCTGGAACTCCTGGATATCAGCAGGCTTTATGTTTTAATTTTTTTTTTTTCTATCTTTTTAAATCTAGTAATTGTTCCCTGAAATGTTTCAATGAGAAAGCAAGCGTAGTTAGCTCCATTCAGTCAGTTTCTGGAAAGAAGCTGTGACCCAAACCATGATCTGTGACTGTGCATAATCACATTTCATCCTCAGAGTAGCCCTGTGAGGGGGCTGTTAACACTATGAAGTAGCTGGACACTAATATCCCAATTTTAAAGGTGGATATCAAGGCTTAGAGAGGTTTCCATAGCTGATTATTTTTCTTTCTTATTTAAGTCTCAGAATGACCAGCTGGTTGCCAGATCATAAAGATTTATTGTTTTCTTCTTTTCAAACAACCTCTTCCAACATTATGACCTGTGTAATTTATAATTCCCCAGATGTCACTCTCTTCCCTTTTGTCGGTTTCTGAGTAGTTCTGCCCACCAGAGCAGATCATATAGTGGGATCTTTTATACTTAGTGATGAATAGTTTCAGAAGCCATGTTTACTTGTGGGTATTTTGCAGATATTTTAAGTTGCTTTTATTTTTTATTTTTTGAATATTTATTTGTCAGGGAGAGAGAGAGCACAAGCAGGCGGAGTAGCAGGCAGAGGGGGAGGGAGAAGCAGGCTCCCTGCTGAGCAAGGAGCCCGATGCCGGGCTGATTCCAGGACCCCGGGATCATGACCCGACCCGAAGGCAGACGCTTAACCAACTGAGCCACCCAGGCACCCCTTAAGTTGCTTTTAATTTCTCATTTTTAGTCGGATTTGAAAGATGGATTTATTTTCCTGTCTCTTGCTTATTGTAGTTTATTATTGTAGCTGAATAGCTAGAGATTAGGTGAAACTTGGGCTTATAAGGTCCCACTCTATGACCACTCAACGATGTTAGTGTTTGTTACTTATAAAATCTTATAGATTGTTTGCTTCAAAGTTTCAGTTGTAAAAATCGGGCTTACTATATCATTGTATCTTGTGTCTCATCAATATGTTTTATTTACAGTATAGGGTTACCCTTTTACTTCCAAGTTTGTATGCTTTAAGGATTACTCTCTTAATATTCTCATTTCCCCAGTGTAATTAGTGTCCTCTGGATGCTATAGCAAATTATTGCAACTTTGGTGGTAAAACAACAGATTTATTCTCACAGTTGAGTTCTGGAGGTCAAATGTCTGATATCAAGGTGTAGGCAGGGCCATGCTCCTTCCAGAGGTCCTAAGGGGGAAACCGTCCTTCTTCCGGCTTCAGGTGGCTGTTAGCATCCTTCATGCTGCATCTCTCTGCTTCTTGTTCATATCACCTTCTCCTCTGTGTATGTCTGTCTCTTAAAACTCCTGCCTCTCCCTTATGAAGATAATGTGATTGCCTTTAGGACCCACCTATATAATGTAGGATAAGCTTTTTTGAGGGGAGGAAAGGGTTGCATTTTTGTTTTTGATTTTGAGTTTTCTCAAATAATGTGAAAAGAGAAAGCAGAGTTTGATTTTAGGCTATCACATGGCTGCTGTATTGAATATCATTAAGGACCAATTTTACTCTTATTGATATCGTACTAGTTTGGGGGGTTGCCAGATCTTTATTTAGAAGTTCTGAATTATAGCTGGAATTCTTTGCCACTTCTACATTAAGCAAAGCTGTTTTCACAGGGGTGCAAATGAGTTTAACTTTGGTTTTAGCACATAGCTTTAAAACATAGTATCAGTTAAACTAGAACTATATGGTTTTCAAATCTACCCCTTTAGTAGAAAGGCTTACATCTGAATGTTTTTGAATGCAGGAAAATAAAAGAAACTTCATTATTCTTCATTATTTTTTTTTTAAATCTTACTCTGTTGTTGATTTAAAATATTGAGTCACTCATCTCTTTGGGATCTTTGTATTTTTTTCAGTGGTTGATTTTTGAAATTTATGATTTTGTTACTCATTGAAATATAGCATAATTGCCTTAGCAGAAATGAAGGGGCAATTGTGTTGAACCCAAAACTAGTCTAATGGGCAGGAAATAGATGTTTCTTAAATGACAAGTATGCCATGTAACTTCAGAAGATTGGGGATTGTTTGATTATTCTCTTAAAAAAATGATTATTCTCTTAGAAAAAGGAATATTGATTGATAGGTAATATTTCAAGGGGATATACAAGATGGCCAGTAATGCTGTTTGCTTACACATGGAAGCCCCCAAATTATGCATTGCTTAATTTAATGTATTTGTATATTTCTGTGTAAGGCATTCCATTGTATATTTAAGCAGTAATAGGAATTGTGTTTTACAACATTTATGATTAAATATTTCACAGGAACACCTAAGTGAAAATTAAATTAGATAATACAGTTTCGACCAGTGAGACTAATAATACATCCCTCAGTAATATGATCTACATCTTTTCAGCCAGGGACAATGTCCTGTTAGCTGATAAAATCTGAGTTGAGGATACGTGATTTAGTTAAGCAAATATTTCAAAATTATACTTAGAATTAGTTACTTTTATGGTTATGGTATTTTAGAAATTTTGCAGGAGCTGACACATTTTATGTTAGAATTTGTTTTCTGTCAGAATGTAGTTGTACTAGATATCTTGTTGCTGCTTGAGCACTTGACAGCTTTATTTTTAAAAAATCTCTGTGAACTTAATGGTGAGCAACTTAACAGGAGACTTACTTTAAAATCATGATTACTTTTAGTGTGTCTTGGCATAAACTTACTTGAAATGTCTGTGTGACCCAAATTCTTCTGGCTATACTTAAAATGTGATGGTGACAGTACCCATTGATTTACATTTAGCATGGTTAACCCCTAAAATGTTCAGATTTTTCTTCTTTATATTCTTAGTAATTCATTTCTTTTAAAGTATATGTACATATATATATATTTTTTTCCCTAAATATCTTGCCTTGGATAATTAAGATTAAAAGGAATAGGAACACTGCTCTGTTTCCTATGACTGTGAACAAATATTAGTGTAAAAATCCATTTTTCAGTTTTCTGGGATTGAATATTTTTGAATTCTTTTTTTTTTTTTTTTAAGATTTTATTTATTTGAGAGAGAGCACAGAGGGAGACTGAGAGGGAGAAGCAGACTCCTCACTGTGCAGAGAGCCCTACACGGGGCTCGGGGCTCGATCTCAGGACCCTGAGACCATGACCTGAGCCGAAGGCAGATGCTTAACTGACTGAGCCACCCAGGCGCCCCTACTTTTTGAATTCTTACATTAAAACACAAATGTTAAAGATTGTTTTTTAACATTTATATTGAAAATATATACATATAATCATTATTCTCTGTTCCTGTTTTTCTTTTATAGATGGAGTTGGGGGTTCAAAAACTACACTTAATATGTTACTTTGGGGCTGGGAAACTTTATACATAGTCATGTGCAAAATAAGTAATGTAAAGCCACTCTCACCAGTCTACACGTGTAAAATACATATTTCAGGTTTAAATGTAACACTTAAGAAATGGTATTACTGCCTTGGAGAGGGCATTTTCTTTGTCCTTTAAAAGATCCTTAACATTTTTGCATTTTTTTTATAGTTGAAAGTTCTATGTGATTTGTTTGGAAATACATTAATGTGTTCCATCTTAAAAATAATACATTGCATCTCTTGTGTTTTTACAGTTTTTACTGAAAGGATTCAATACTTCAGTATGTCAAGATTCTTATAATGTTAATATCAACTTTTAACTGTTGAACTTAGGAAATATGCACAACTAGATTTTGACTAGTTATAAATCTCTTTTATTATTCCAAGCTATGACATCATCTTAGGCAGTCTTAAGAATTTCTGGATATTGTTTTCATCAGATGTAGATACCACCATAGATTTTTTTCTGTAATTTTCTTTTCTTTATTTGAAAATAGATTTCTTGATTTATATCTTCTTTCAATTATTTAGGTAATTATTGTAGCTAACATAATTCCGCTGTTAAGAAACTACATCCTACTAAGAGACTAAATGCAATCAGGAATGCACAATTAAGTTTCTTTCTTGGTGCTTTTTTGTCTTTACAGTATTACATTGTGTTTAAAAAACATTTTCTTGGGAAAAACAAGTTAAGGAAATGATTTCCATGCTAATCTTATCAGCATGGCTTATAGCAATGAGGAGACTCTTTAAGGTATTTGAACAGTTTTTAGGGTGTAAATTAAAATGTGTTCCTGTGCCTTTGCAATATTTATTTTGTGAACATTAAAGATGACCTAGAAGAAGAAGGGAAATCTGCAAAGTTATCCAGATACTATATCTACAGCAGAGTGCTTCTTTCTGCTCTTGTTTGCCCAGTGTCATGGAAAGTCATTGCCACACCCTGAGCAGACTTGAGCAGGAGAAACTCACATTCATAATATACCCATGAAGAGTGGTCTTCTGAACTAATGTGGTATCAAAGAGAAAGGTCCAGTTTTCAGAGAATGCTTACTGTTTTTAAAAGTACGGAAAATTTTCTGTTTTATGTTGTTTCTTTCTTGTTAATTTTAGAATAATGCTTAGGTTCCCAGTATTTATTCCTTTCCATTATGGTTGTAAATTTTACACGTCAACAACCTTAGACTTATTTAAACATAAAATTCACATTTTAAGAGGAATAGCATTGTATGGTGACAAATTGTAGCTAACACTTGTGAGCAGAGCATAATGTGTAAACTTGTTGAATCACTGTGTTGTACACCTGAAACTAATGTAACATTGTGTGGCAACTATACTTCAATAAAAAATAACTAAATAAATAAAAACTAGCATTAAGAGGAATTGATATAAAGACATTAAGGAAAACCTGGAGAGGTGAAAGGATCATTCAGATATTAAGAAATAAAGATTGAAAGTTTAATATTATTAACATTAAGAAAATATTTTTTAGTTGTATTTAATATTATTTTAATAGTCCTAGTATTTTCTGGAAAAGAGGAATAAATGGATTTACTTTATGAATAGTTGTTATATTTTCAGAGGTGGCTGGTTGCTGTCTTGTGA